ATCCAAGCACCTCTTAAAAATGACAAAACTGTGTTATAAAAAAAAAAAACATAATTATATATAAAACAATAGTTAATTGAATTAAAGTTAATAGTTAATGTTATAATTAGGGCTATAAATTTAGTGCACTAAAAAACATTAAATAATGTATTGAAAATTTCAAAAATTATAGTATACAATGCACTTAAAATGATCTTTAATTAAATTTTTATTTTTTTATTGATATTAGTATATTATATTCTATATCATTAAATTGATTGAAACTTATATTTTAGGAAGTTGAATCTCTTGAGTATCATTTGTCATCTAATGAAGAGTTATTTAAACTAGACAACAATGCTGATATCCTTAAAAAAATAAACTTTGTTAAACAACATCCTATTCAGCCATAATTTTTCAGTAATATCCAACTACATCTACAAAAGCTTTATTTTAGAAAGACACCAGATGACAAAAAAATTGCACGAAAGTAGTCATAGTCAAAGTAAGTTATCAGTGCTATGTGTTAATAATGAGCTCAAAGCTATATACTGTCCGATTTGCATTGCTTTTAGTTCATCTGCTACTACATTTTCTAACGGTTGAAAAAATTTCAAACATATTTATGAAGTTGTTAAAATACATGAATAATCATCAACTCACAGGCACTCAGTAGAAACCTTTATTCAATCATCTAATGATAAATCTATTGAATTTGGTATCAATAATAATTTAATGGCAATAAAAAAAAATCAAATACTAGATAATATCCATGTTTTAAATGAAGTTTTTGAAATAGTTAAATTTCTTGGTTGTCAAAATTTGCCATTCAGAGGTTCTAAAAACTCTGAAAGCTTATATAAATGGGAAAATGAAGACAAATTGAACAAAAGAAATTTTTAGGAGTTGGTGAAGTTTACAGCTAAACGTGATGCTACGTTATACAAACATTTGAATTCCGCTATAGAGAACAGCAAACGCAGGAAAGTAAACTTGGAAAAAAAATCATTAACTTCTTGTGGTATGGGTTCACTGGTAACTTTACTGTTTGAAACTACCGTGAATAAAATTGTTTTATCGATCATGAAGTCAATAAGGGATAGAATTAAATTGGAATTGGGTGAACGAAATTTCAACTTACAAATTGATAGTACAAAAGATGTTGGTGTTATAGATCAGGCTGCAATGTGCATACGGTACATTTATGAAGGTGAAGTAAAAGAAAGACTATTTGCTTTATTAAAAATGGTTGATTCATCAGGAAATGGCTATTATGATATGTTAAAAAAACTTTTTTCTGAACATTCCATTAAGTTTGATCGTATTATTGGTGAATTATTTGACGGTGCAGCAAACATGAGAGTATTCAGGTTTACAATCTAAGATTAAAAGTCAAGAAAATCAAAAAAGCATTTATATATGGTGCTATAGTCATGTGCTTAACTTATGTGTATGTGATACATGTAAAAGTATGGAAGCTAAAAAACTGTTTGAATTTTTGAATCGATTATCAACATTTTTTAGTGAATCTTATAAACGTATGCACGTATGGTTACATGAAATTGATTCAAGTTTGGGATCAAATAAATTGAAAAAGCTTCAAAAAGTAGGAGAAAACAATACGCGATGGTGGTCTCGAAAAAAAGCTCTGTTTTGGATTTTTGATGGTGATAATTGTCTTTTTCCTAGAGTTATTAGTGCTTTACATTATATTTCTATTTCCAAACATTTTGAACTTAAAGTTTATTCAGAAGAATCTTCTTTATTAGATAATTTATGTAATTTTAAAATAATTCTCACAGCTCATATATTTTTGAAAATCTTTAAAATTATTGGACCAACGTCACGTTATCTTCAGACAAGAGGTATGGATTTATTATCAACTTGGAGCATGATAGATTCTGTAAAACTAGAAATTGGACAAATTGACTTTGACAGTATTTTAGAAAGTTCTATACATTTTTCGAACAATATGAACGACGTAATAGTATGAATCTTCCTGAAGATTTATTAGTATCATCTTCTTTACCTGTTACTAGGAATATCAGGAAAAAAAGAATGTATGATGAGCTATGTGAAGACGAAACACCGGAGTTACCATTAGACAAATTCAGAGTTGAAACATATCAAACAATAATTGACCAGATTATTAATAGTCTAAATGAACGTTTCACCGACAATAATCAATTGATAGCAGATGTTCAATACTTGATCCCTAAAAATTTTAAACAAATAAAACAAATGCCAAATACAACTTTATAACACTTTGCAAATTTAGCAAATGTAGATCATGAACATCTTTGTTTAGAACTTCAAAATTTTTCTAAAGTATATCCAAAATTAAAAATATCTACAATAGAAAAAACCAAACAAATCTACCGTCAATTTGATACTGATTCAGATACAGATAACGATGAAAACAATATAAGTTCTGATACAGGATTTTCATCTATGATAACATTATTCATAACAACAAAGAGCTCGGAAGGTGTTGCATTTGCATGATTTTATTGGGCTATTCAAGTTATTGCTAAGTAACCTTGCAATTATTTTCATGTTACTATGAAAAACCTAATGGGAACATTTTCAAAGAAAATATTTAAATTTCAATCTATTTATTTTATTTTATTTTATCTTATATATTTATACATAGAAATTATGTTTAGCTTAGCATAAAATACTAACAACATTTTTACTGTTACGAACGAGTATATTTACTCGTAATAAAATATCTTTATTTTGAACATTTTTGCGTTAAAAAAATATATTTTTTTGTATATTTTTGAAGCATATTTGTACTTTTTTAAACGCATAAGTGCATGCATATTTAGTAATTTTTAAGTGCATGAAGTTCCGAGTCCTAATAATAATATAATACATACTGTCTACTATATAATTTAATATTTATCAGTTATTATTTATTGAAACTTATGAAAATATTTTATATCTAATAAAAAAACTGTGAAAATATGTAACCAAAATTTGATAGCATCATCATAAGATATATACTGGTATCACACATTTTCAAATCACACGGTCTGATAAAATACACGTCATGATGTAGTGTGAATCCGGCTTTAAACCGAAACCAGAAAAAAACATAAAGGTTACAATCCCTGTACTATACTGTCGATTATAAGATAATATTAAAATAATATATTTGATAATTTGTATTACAGTCTGTGACAAGGGCGGATACAAGGGGGGCAATGGGGGCAGTTGACCCCCCCTTTAGAGCCTCTGTATCCGCCCCTGGTCTTTGATGATATATTTATACACGTGTCTGTGTGTGAATGAGTCGTTGTGCGCAAACGAGTTATCTATTTTCAAGTAAACGACTGATTTCGTCGTGCGCAAACGAGTTGTAGCGCTTTGAAAGTGTTTGTACTCATCGCGACTGAGTAATTATAAATTAATAAATTTTAATAAAAAAATATGAAAATGCATATTTCATTCGTTTGTATTAATTGAACAATATAATAAATGAATTATTTAAAATAAAAATAAATTATTAATTTCTTTTCAAAAATATTACCTTTTATCTTAATAATGTTTTTTAAAGAGTTTGTAATTCTAATTTTATCGCAATTAATTAAAAATTTATAGTAAAATAATAAAAAATAAAATTAATAAATGGTTCGTATTCGTAAATTAATATATAAATAAATACACAAATAGTTTATGTATAGAAATAAATAAATATCTTAGATCTTACAATATCCATAGTAGATAAAAAATTTGAATTTAGTGTAACAAGAAATCTACCCAAATTGATTCTATAATACCACATAATTCTAATCATCTATATTCACAAAAAATATAATTTTTTAATTTAATATTTTACAGACTTGAACGTATTCCATTAAATTAACTTTATTATTAACACGAAATCAATATTATCTAAAGTATAGCCCATTAGAAAACTATCAATTTAAATATTATTAAAAAAATTCATAAACGTATTAAAGAAAAAAATAAAACATAACTCACCAAATAATACTATTTATTACTGTATTATGAAATATCAAAATAACATGTCTAATAAATTTGTCAAAATTCTAAACAATAATACTAATAATGTAAAATCGCTTTTAAAAATATTTAATAATCGCTTTTAAAAATATTTAATAATTTAATCAAACGTAAAATTAGTAGAACTAAAAATTTAACGAAAAATCCACTTTTTTTGAAAATTCTGGTATAAATAAACTTAAATGTAACTGTAATATATTTTATGTAGACAAGACAAATAAACATGTTTTAGAAAATAACTATTTTGATATCAATATAGCGTAAGAAAAAAATGATAAATACCTAAAATAACATTTATATTAATTCAGTTTTAGAAGAACGACACAATGAAATAAATAAAAATAATTTTAATAATATTTTAAATGTACAAACCGATTTTATAAATATCTTTTATCTATACATATTAGATAATAAATAATAATAACCGAAGTATTTATTTTTCTTAACACATCTATTTCTAGTAAGATCTGATTTAGAATAATCTCTCCTTTTAAAATAAATTATCTTTATGGAAAACGACTGATTTTTCTCAATGTATTCCTTCGTTTATTTTTTCTCATATCCAGTCGTAATTTTATTAACTTTGTACGTACCAGACGATGAATTTTTAATTCCAAACCGGTCGTACTTTACAAATATAACAATAATCCAGGCTAAGATGTTATTTATTCATTTATTTCTATATATAAACTATTTGTTTATTTATGTATTTCAAATCTCTGCTGCGTAATACGATATGATGAGAAGCCGTATCCGGGTAAAATACAACGACGTATGCAATAAAATGTAACGTATTTGCTCGATGTACCTAACGTATAATGCGTGTACTTGTATAATATTATTCGCGTAGATGCTAAGACGCACAATAAGAATTACCGTTGGACGGTCGTAGGCATGCATATTACTACCATGGGATACGTTCTGATGTCCAAGGCGACAATCATAGAGCTCAATCGTTTCGAAAATATACAATGAACGTACGCACTAACCCAATAAATCTTCGAAGCTGTAGATGACGTCGCGGCGCAATCGTGTTTTACTATATTTGTCAACGGCCCAACGGAAACGGATGTCCCACGGCACTGGATACGACCTATCGTTTATTTACAATACAGAGGCAGGATTAATAATACTGTGTGAGAAAGCAGGTATGTGGTCTTGTATTTTCATTTGACCACGCCGCGTCTACGTGTGTGTATTACCATGTCCTCTCTGAATTCTTGTCCAAAAACAGTTTAACTTCCTCGCACTGCATTAGGCAGTTGCAGTTGATCGGTGTCCCGTCGTGTTCTAAGCTCATCAACAGCGTTTTGTGAAACGACAAACAGTACAGTCCTTTGACATCGCAAACTTTCATTTTACCTAAAACAGAACGCAATGTTATTGTTATACTATACATAAAGATATCTTCTTGGCTGTTTATTTAAAAAAAAAAAAAAAGATTTGTTATTATTTTTGTTTTTAGTTGAAAAATTTAAATAAAAACACGATTTTTCTTTGCATCGTACGGTTCATCAGTACAGTTCATAAATCGAATATTTTATTGTGTTATTAATAATCTTTACTTGCATCGCAAATGATTTTTTTTCGTTTGATAATTCGTTTATTGGGTCATAGTTGTGTAGTGCATTGCATTTTTTTCAGGATGAATAAATATTTTTAATACTTCTGATTGCGAAAAACGTCATCCTAAATTTATCGATTTTAAATGTTACTTAATAATAAATGTCCATTCATACTGGACTAAATCCATGTTCTTTTGTATGCATTTATTTTCACCAGAACTTACTTTAAACCTAACATTTAATTAAAGCAATCTTCATCTCGACCTTTTTTAAAATAATTATAAAGGAGAGAAAATTGAGAATTTTACTAGTTGTGTTGCAAATCTTCAGTTGTGCCGTTTAGGTGACGATACATTTGATTTGAACAGTATACATTTAAAACATTCATATTATTTGATATAAATTCTTAACAGATAAATAATTTAAAATAATTAAATTAAATTATATTGAATTCATCCGTACTGGTGATTTCCGTTTAACATAAACGTGCACCTGGGTAAGGATAAAAGTGAGGAGTACATCCGCACTTCTCCAAAGCCAGCTTTCTTCTGCATATCATTCGGCAGGTATTGTAACTGTAAACAGGTATTGTACTGTCCATTGGTTCGTCCATGAAACGACATTGGCGTTGTGACGGTTTCAGTCTTCTCAGTCCAGACGCGGATGTCATCTCCCAAAACGTGAATGTTGTGTCTCGTTCCATGTTTTCGAACACTGAATAGTATTTGTCCTGTATGTCGGGCACTTCTTTTGGATAATGAACATAGTACTGTATCGGAAAAAAATCATTCCTGGAGTACAGTGAAAACTATTTATAGTTTACTCGTTAAATTAGCACACGTACTGATCGCGAATTCGATCGTAAAAATTTACCAAATTTACCACTTCCACAGTATTAAGTGTTTTCAATTTATTCTTATATTTACACATGTATAGGTACGCATGAAGTAAATATCGTGAGAACACTTTACACCCAATGAACAATGAATTTAAATATTCGCTGATTATATCTCTACATGCAATAATCGATATTTTACATTATTCGGTTAAAGAGTTAGAAATATATTCGTTACGCAGAACGCCGTTCATTTTTTTTTTTAAATTTTTATTCAGCTTATCGCGGATATTTGATTGTAAATATCACGGTTTTCATAAAAATTCAAAGTTTGCTGTTATTATGAAACCGATTTTATGTAGTTACCGGTTGATATGTTGTATTTAATCAATTATTAAGACATGCATATTATGCCTAGTCCTATGATGTTGAACAATTGTATGTTGTAAATTATATGATAAATAGTAGCGGTTTTTATTTTAAACAAAATGTATTCAAATACTCATATGAAAATGGTTTGTAATAATTAATGGGTCTCATATTTTTTATTCGACCGCATCTATTCGGTTACCTCAGTGTATAAATTATCAAACATCATGAGAATAGCGACAAGTACTCTCTGCATCAATTTCATCAATTTTATATAAAAATGTTACGATTACCTTAATAATTCGAGGTAGATTTTCTACTCTTCCATAACACAATGCATTGAGAAAATTGCAAGATGGGGTTAAAGAATTGTTTTCAACGCGTATTTTACTTCTGAAATCATATTCAACGAATAAAAGCTAATAAAATGTTATTTTTATTTATGTAAAACGGTTCTATGAAAATTAATTGTAATATGAATACCACATGTAAAGTCATTCTTATGTCTTAATATAAAATTATATTTAAATTTTTAAGTGTATTCATTAATATTATGAAAATAGGTGAACAATGGTCAGATCTAAATTGTAAATTCTTGACCCAATCGACTCCAAATATTTACTTACTCGGGTGTTAAATAATTAGTTATTTTTCCATTGAAAGTATAACAGATACCCATTTCAGTAAGTACAGGTAAGAAGGTTATATTTTTAAAATCTGAACTGAACAATGTCATTATATATTGGGGGTCAGCGTGCACCTGGAAAACCAGTTAATTAATATTTGTAAATATACTTTTAGGCGATATTATAGAGATTTTGTATTTTCTCAATTAATGGGGTTATAATAATTTCTTATTTTGGTTTCAAACGTTTAAAAAGATGCAATTCATTTTATCAATACCTTTAAGATTAAGTCCATAATATCGATATATTTTAGCTCGGTGTTATTAACATAAGGCGCCATGCTATCTAAATTTTCATACGTTGTATTAGCAACTTTCTTGACAAAATCCATGTAGTAATCAAATTTCTCTCCAGAACTCACTCTCCATTTACTAAGTAAAAATAAATAGATTTACGTATTTATTCTTTAAACAAATATTTTATTTTTCAATAATATTCCACCCACCGCTCTATATAGATTTTAGCTAAATTCGTGTCCACAGGGTCTACATAACAGAATGTAGCACTCGGAAACTGAAGGTACCAATATCGATAATCTTTTTGTACAGTTATAACTGTAGGGTTTTCATTGTAACGTGTCCAACTATTACGGATTAAATTATAAGCTCCATAAATTGCAATTACTTCACACAGGACCCATACGATTCTGTGTACAAAACAGTATTGCATAAATTTAGTGAACTGAATTTGTAATCATACGAGTAATTGCAAACACATATAGCCCTAGTTGAATAATCGGCAAAATAACTACTTATTATAAAATTTGTGCCGATTATGTGTGGTTGTGCTAACTATACTTACACTTCTATCAAATGTCTGTTGGACAGACCAATATGACGTATACCGTGCAAGGTAGTCGTCTCTGAGAATTCCTTCAGATACAACAAACTGGGCTTGAGATACTTCAACAAAAAGTTTGGTTTTTTATTGTTTCCGTTATTCTTCCGTATAGCATGCATATTGTTGTATTATATATCGCGGGACGGTATACATCAACGAACTGACGACGGCGTAGAAATTCGCATTTTTCCCACATCGCCATTGTCACGAAAGCGACCACTAATGCATGATACGCCGAGTTTTTTTTAGATCTATAGAGATATCGTAAAGTACTGCAACGTTATGCTGTTATTATCCTAATGGAAAAATTATTTCTACCTTTTTTTTTTTTTACGCATGTTGAAAGTAAATTGAATCAAAAAAAAAAATAAATAAAAAAATAAACTTTATCATCATACACAAAATATCATTTAAGAGGCAATAATGGAGTGTATATTTGAGTGATGGTACAAATACTTAAAATCTCATAACTGATATTAGTTATAAATTACCTTCGCTACTGTAACAATAACAATATTAATTGCCTGACGAATAATGCTGGACCGATACTATATTTATTTCCGTGCATTAATATATCGTACATGTTTATATTTAATTCGAGTGTTGTAAATTTTCAATATACAATGTTACAAATATTAATGGTGATATGGTGCGGGATGATTATTGTTATTTTTGTGTTTTACAAACTAATACAAATATTTGGCTATTTGTGTGAATGTATATAACTGTGTATTATGCGCTGAAAAAGATTATTACAATTTGTATTTTTTATCAATACTGTGTACAGGATGAACCGTTTACGAACAAAGCACAAAGCTGTCGGACATCTATGGTCAATCATACGATGATTATGAATTCGTTATAAACACACGAAAAACACATAAATCAAAATATGCTTTTATATTAAAGTGCATCCTGTTGGAGTCTCACATTTTAACCGACTGTTACACAGGGTTTGAGAACGATAACTGATGATTAAATAAATACGTATTATGCTTCAAAGATCCGATATGTAATTGTACTACATAACTATGTATGCTATCATTGTTGGATTATTTACTTTAAAAAATAATAAGTTACTTTACTCGTTAATCATTACTTTAATATAATGAAATTACATTTTACGTTACTCAAATAAAATTGCAATGAAATTAGTTCGCCTTTAAATAATAAAAAAAAAAAATAACTACTCATACGTTGATTTCAAGTTTTAATTGAAAAAAACGTTTTATGTATAAATTTATCATTTATTTATTTTTTTTTAATATAATACAGAAACAATATATTTTTGTTGAAAAGTTTGTTGGATTGTAGATACCTATTTATAGCGTATTTTATCAGAGAAATTACGTGTGTAAAATAATTTCCATTCAATTTTCGTTACGCAGTAAAAATTGTAATTAAATTACGTAACACGTTGTTATAAAAGTAAACTGGACGCCTACGTATACAAGTAATGTTTCTAAAGTTAAGTGATTTCATACAAAATTCAGGAGGTCCCACAAGATATTGACTGGTTCAACGATACGAGACCATTTGAAATCAGTAAACCTGCCTAGGACACTCTGTGTGGGATACCGATGGTACGCCGAGACCCGGAACGGTATGCATATTATGATGCACGATTTCGAGTTTGGTGCCGGTGAAATGAACCGCAGTCGAGTCGGTTCGGATTTTAATCGGTGCGGGAACAAAAACAACGGGTACGATGTAAACAACAATGACGTAGACGGAGAAAAACGAGCCCATCCAATATTCATGTTTGTCGTCGCAAACTTATTTTCGCCAGCCGGTTAACAAAACGCCGTATTGTTATTATTACGGTTTAATACGATGCGCTGTAGCGACGAATACGAGAACGAGCAGGCAAAGCGTTATCCGTCGTTTTTGCGTTTTGTCCTTAAGAAACAGCGGCAGTGGCGTCGGCGCGGGTCGTGAGGATTCCCGTAATTTAATCAGACTCGTTTAAAGTGCACACCGAAATACCGATTGCGATGGCGGTGCATATGAAAGAAGTCGGATCAGATGGTACGTGACGCTCGTTAAGGACTGCCGCCGCCGCCACGGATTGTGTATTATAATGTCGGTCGCCGCCACTGGCTTCCAGTGATACACGCGCTCTACGTACGTACGCAATATAATATTACCACGCGTGCAATTCGACCATTGTGCGCCGCTGCCGGTTGACCGAGTCCCGGGTGCACTGAAAAATATTGGTACATTACGCGAGGTACACCGAGTCCCCCTAGCGTTGAGGCTTTGATTTCATTCGAAATTGTTCTGTTTCGTCTGTTTCTGTTTCTGTCGTTTTCAACAACGATTTGCGGAAGCTGCTGTGATGAGCTACCGGTCACCGAGTATCATGTGCAATCGCCAATAAATGTTTGTTTTATTTACTCGGCACATCAGTGTCACTGTGCGCCGCTTTCGATGACCACGCGCAGTATTTCAACAATTTTTATTACTCTCGTCGTTCGTGACGTGGACTTATTCGGTTTTTAATTTTTGAATAACGATGATGCGATTGAACCGGTTTCGATCCGATTGCAATGTGTGCATTACAATTATTTTACTGCAACTCGAAACACTAAGCTGAACTGATAAGTACGTCAGCATGTCAACTCTAGGAACGCGTGGTATAGGAAACGGTGTTTCGTTCACCCTTCTATTGCACGGGCCTCGTTTGACTATATTAGAATTTGCTCGCACATTGCCCGTGTTGACAAGATTTTTTACTAGGATCAGGGAAATCAACGTTGAAAAAACAATGGAAAACAAGTAAAAAATCAATCAGTGCGTAGGACGGAACTTTTCAAAATCGAATAGCGATAGCCCATTCTTATTAATCGATAACATTAATCAAACACGCTAAATTATGCGCACGAACAATTACGCAGTATTCGAACATTTAGGATGTAAAGCACATTAAGGGATACGTTTTAAGATTTTATAGTTGTACGAATACATTGGTAGTTCGTAATGTATTGTATCCGGGCCATTTCATTATCGTTCGGGTGAGTAATTTTTCCTTCTTCATTTCGTAGACACTATGGCTATCTATTATCAATTTTTTTTGATAATGATTCGTGTTTGTACCCTCGTTTATCGAATCCTATCGTACTCGGGCCAGTTTAGTTCAATAATATACATGCACAGTACGTCTGTATCGCATTCTTCTACAACGTAAATCCGTTTATTTTTTTTTTCGAAAACACTAAAGTACAATCCAATTATATTACCACACGATAATTGTGAGTATACGAACCGGTCTAAACGAAAGTCTAATATAAATCAAGCATATTTGTGTTTTAAAACCAGAAATCATACACTTCCGTTGTAGTATTGACTTGGTCGAACGAAAGGTTTGAAATTCGACAAAAATGGCACTCTTCCGAATTAACCGCAGTCCACTGAATGGAGCACATACGAACGAGGTACGTTATTATTTTTTATTTTCTTTGTAACTGCAGATATACGCTTGGTTCTAAACGCAAGACGTATATATTGAGTGAATTTTGTCGGATACTTACCACATTATCGCGGATAAACGGGTAAACGATAAATCATACCAAAGCGATACATGTAATATATTCATGGACTTCGTGCGAAGGCATAAATTAATAACTTCTAAAGTTGGAACTCGTGAGCGTACCTACATCGACGTGGAAGACTGTTAGCGATCGCAAAACGCGTACGAGACTAGTACATGTACGGGATGCGCGGAAATATACCGACGAGCAAAATGTAATATACATTAATATATTTCTTCGCAGACAGTATGTACTGTTGTTAATATAGTTATAACCGTGTAAGTCGGGCCGTAAAATAAAGGTTAAGGTGAATTTTACGATTTGAACAGTATAACGTATACGCGTGTATTACTTCGCTTACATCCAAACGCGGACGGGTATGGGAATTTCGCGACCCAGAGATGATTCTCGGGACAAAAGTCAACGATTAAAAGACTCGATCGTGCGTTTCTTAAAACGAAAAAATAAAAATAAACAAAATGAAGCGTATTCACTTACGGACCAATCGTTGTCGGTCGGCGAAAGCTCTTGAGATAATAATTGCGAGAATAAGGCAAAAAGGCCGGTGATGGTTATCGTCGTCGTACGTTGCAGTCTTTCCGAGCTGCCGGGACCGACGGACTCGGATCGAGAGCTCTTGATCTCTTTGTTGAACCGCCGACTGTATGATATGTGTAATATACGCGCGCGTGTGCATGTGTGTTATGCTGCGCACACGGGAGAGCAGCTAATTTACGTGCCACGAACTGATGAATAGCCGCTTTTTATGAAACCAGAACGACTGCGAATTTTACTCTTCTTCGCGTGACGGCAAAATGCGTAGTCCAACTACACACTCGCGACCGTGCGAGCAACCGTTCTCCTTTCTCATTATTATTATTATTATCATAATTTCGGTACAAGTTCAACTATACAATTTGTTTCCGTAATTCCGTACGTAAATTTTTTGTTTTATTTTATATTTATTGTTAGACATGAGCCAGCTATATATATATATATATATATATACATATATGCTAAAATTCCATAAGCACAAAAATTATAATTAAACTTCTGTAACGAAAACGAATGGCAATAAATCTCAAGAATTCATTCAAATACATAATGTATTATTTTGTGTATGTGTGTAACTCCTATTATTATGAAAAATCTACTTGTATTTGAAATTAATGTACCGCTATGACAGAGTATATTATTCATCCCATAAACTCCTAAGTCGTTTAATATGTAAATGGTATTTTTAGATTATTGCTGGCTTATTCGTTCATTGTATGTGTTGTTCATACTTTTCGCACGAGGAGATTAAATATTTAAACACTCTGTTCTGTGGTTTATTTATTTAAAAATAATAATAAGTTTAGTCTATAATATTTTCATAACAAGTATTCAAAAACAATTATATTTAAATAATTATTTTGAAAAAAAAAATGTTTTAAATGTCAACAAACTGTTTTCAGTTTTTACCTTTAAATAATAATATATAAATGTGTATGATATGCAGCGGTGACCACGATATTTAAACTTCCTAAACTTAGAGATTTTATTTAAATAATTTGTTACTAGAACATCGGATGTCATTTCTGAATTGC